AGCCTTTTACACAAAATTTGAGGTAACAAACAGGAAAGGTAATCGGCAAGTCGGCAGTTTGTAGCGCAACAATTATGACCGCCAAAAATACAATGAAACACTGTCCCCCCACCCGAAACCGTTGTGGTCCGGAACTTATACACGAAAAAAGGGTTACGAATAACGAAACCATTCAAAATAATTTCACATAGCGTCTGTGTGGAAGGGGAGGCGGGCAGATACGCTTTTGCTACGGTGCTGATTGTGGTGCCGCGTGCCGCCGCTGGGTGGGTTTGTTGTGCCGAATTAATGATTGTCGCGTATACATTGTATGGACAGCCACAAAAAAGGGGTAACGAGGCGAATGAAATTGCGATGCGAAACCCCAAATTTCGGGCTGCCACAATTTTGATTACGTGCAATATTGGTACGAGCGTGGCTTTTATTTCACTTTTGTGGTGACTGGAGAGGCAAAGAACGGAGGGCGGTGGAAAGTTGTCCCACGTTCGCTGGTCGGGAAGAGGTTCAGGTACAAAATCATGCGCTTATTCGAGCGTTGCATTATTCTTTCTTTCATTTATTTTATTATTTTGAATCATATATCTGAATATTTTTTTCGTCTGCTTTTTTCGCTTTTGTTCAATTTGCGATCGCTTTATTGCAATCTACAGTGGGAAAAGTAGTTAGGACATATGTACATACGTACATATGTATGTATATAAATATTTTATGGCTGAAACAGAGTAAAATAAAATATACAGTATTGTGGTTAATGTTTTTCAGTTCTTTCACCAGGTTCAACAAAAATTTATAAATTGAGGCGATATTTTTTTTATTTACTTTTTTCATCTTCACCGATGACCATAAATATGTTATACTCCGCTTCCCTTGCACAGCCACATTTTTATCGAGCTAAGTAATATCTACACTTATAGGCACCGGAGGAGCTGCATTTTAATCTAATTTTAAAGAAAATTTGTGAAAAATAAAAAGTAACTATTTATATAATTTTTTATGCTGCATTTTATAAAACAAGGTGGGTGCGCACATCTGTCTGGTTATCGGATTATGCCGTTATATTTTTTCTTCAGTGTCTCCGAATAAAACGTCCGCACTGCGGAAAATGTCCATCTGCAAAATTATGAATTTACTGATGGCAACCGCATCCTAGGTGCGCAAAATCATTTAGTAAGACCAAATTTAGATTTTTTCAGCTATGATTGACCTGCATTGAAATAATATTCATTTTCTAAGAAGCATAGGTGTTCATATATATTATTTTACTTCTTAAAGGCATGAAAAAATGCCCAAATTTTGTGGTAACACCCTTTGCCCTGAAGACTATTACATATTTTGTCACTCACATACAAATTGTGCCGAAAACAAATAACCTCAAGGCACCAATAAAAAATTGTTACTTTACAGAGTGTTTCAAAAAACAACACAATTTGGCCAAGAGCATTAAATTTAGCAATATTTATACATGCATATGTATGTACATTAGGGTGGTCAAAAAAAAAAAAGTAAAGTCGGTATTATAATGCTCTCACCCTCTAGGATTGTTCTATACCGAAGAAAAAAACATACTCAGGTATTATAGATGGAAAAAAAAATTTTTCGTAGAAATGGTATAGAATCCTTTAAAAACAATATTTTTCGATCTGTTTTAATACTAATTGTTTATTTAACCATTTCTTAATATCAACTATCTTTATAGGCCCCCTAAACCCCAAAAAATGCTATGGAGGCGCAATTTGGTACTATTCCATGAAGTCTTCTGAAGAGAAACAGAGTTTTCCGATCGAAAAATATTGATTTTCAAGAATTCTATACCATTTCCGCAAAAACTTGTTTTCCCCCTTATAGAATACATGGACAACTTTTAGCGACCTTTAAATATTTTTCGCTTTCAAAAAAAGCCCCCTAGGTGTGAGAGCATTCAGAATTCGACTTTACTTTTTCACGCGCTTTTTTGCACCACCCTAATGTACATTGTACATACAGTGTATGTATATATGTGTACATTCATGTTATTGTCCGTCAGTTTCGTTTACAGTTTTATTGTTGACAAATTGCCATTTTATGGCTGTTCAGTTGAATGACTAAATATTTTACAGAAACAAACAACAATACTAGGAGCAACATATTGTGACAAAAAAATTGTGGTACTTTTTCCATTGCAACTTTTTTTGAGCCCACTCGGCACAACCGGACAATAGTAAATTAGTTTTTTCATGGCTCTCTTCTTGCATGCCAGACATTTGTTTGAGCCATAAAAATGCCTTGTAGCCAATGACCACACTTTTAAGTGATTTAGTATATGGATAAGTAACTCCTGGTAGGGTTACTGGGCCGTAAGCTAAGCACTGGTTGGCTACTGGACGATCCCAACTACTCCACATTGTCTGTCGCTGCCTCCTCCGACTGAGCAGTTATGGTTTTTATTTGGATTAGATACTCGTATTGTATTACAGTTAAAAAATAACATATGTCAGACATGAATAAATTCATAAACCCTTACTTGGCTTTGGTGCACGTGTCCTTTACTGCATTTGCATGTGGTAAAATTCTTATTACAGCCTAATATTCTTTCTGTGCCCATGGGCTGCATGTGTTACAAGTGTTTCCGAGCAATTTTTTTGCAGTCGATTCACAGCTTTCAAATATTCAAATCTCTACTCCGTTGAGTATTGCTAGTTACAAGCAATCGCATTGTGTGTACATATGTGTAACCGTTATGTGGTTAACCCAAGTATGAGCCTGTTATCCTGGCTGAGTGCCAAAAAGTAGCTTAGTTCTAAATTTTTGTAATCTCTTCTTTTTATTTAAAACCATGATTCAGCATTCAGACTTTATTCAAATTATTGCAAATAAAACCGACAAAAGGATGTCGTAGGAAATATGTGCAAAAAATAGGAAAAAAAAATGTTGAAGGATGACAAAATCTAACGGATTCGAATTTACTGCAAAGTCAATGACTTCATTCTTTTTGTTTTCGATACTTACATATGTATTTACTTCGTTTTAGAAAGAAAAGGAGATGAAAGAAAAAAAGGGTTTCCGTTTTTTTGGGTAGAGCCTTTAAATTAGCGTGCATTGATATGTACATAGGTACAAAATTATACATATCTAATAAAAATACAGTACAACAAAAAATTCCATCGTTGACGAGCTAAGATAAAAAATGAATAGCCTCGATCAAATGCACGAAAAAAGGATATGCCATAAATTAAGGAAATGAATAGTTTTATAAGTACATGTATACATACATCAGCAGCAAATAAAAACATAGATACTAATGTGGTTGTCTATCCACACAAGGAAGTTAACACTTTTTGCGAATTTAAATAGACATTTCAGTCCTACTTTTAAGATGTCCTCTAACTTCTCGAATTGGTAGAATCGCAAGCATTTTAGTCGTGTTTTTGACAGCGCAGGACATCGGCAGAGAAGATGTTCCAAGGTTTACCTGGTCTCCCGCTCACGACACTTCCTGCACCTATCCTAATTAGTGATACCCATTCTTTGTGCATGAGCAGCCACCGGAAAATGTTCCGTAAGCAATCCGGTAACAATTCGGCAATCGTAACAAGAAGCGAGTATAGTTGATTCCGCCGTTTTTGCACATAATTTTTGCAGATATGCTGGTGGTTAACTCATTACATCTAGCCCTGAACAAGTGTTGAAGAGGTCTCGAATGTAGTGTGTCTGTTCGAGAGTCAGGTCGGTGGCTTTCTTGACAGTCTCGTCTGCTATTTTATTACCCTCTATCCCCTTGTAGCCGGATACCCAATATATGTTCGGCTAGCCTGTCAATGGCTCCCCGGCTGCGAGGGACGTTTTGGATGAACGTTCAATTCCCGGCAGTAAATCCCGGCATCCACTCCCGTTACCATTTTAGAGCCGTCCGTGAAAATGTTTAGAGACCTACGGCTAGGTTTCATTTCCTTGCGCCAACTCTCCTCCCAAAACGTTGTGCGAAACCTTTGCTCCCACTTAAAGCTATATGCCGCCCCAATTAAGCTGTGTCAAAATATTCTGAAATTGAATTCTCCTATGGCCGTGAATCTACCAGCCGTTCATTGGAACCTAAGCGCTCCCGTGATGCACAGTGCCGCGGCATTGTGACATATCAGTTAGAAAAACATCTCTCGCAGAGCCAAAGTTCTGCGTGAAAGTCTTGCGGGTCCATTATACGCTTGAAGTGGAAGTCAGAAAATAATTTTCTAGATGTGAACATTTTGCAGCCCTCAGTTAACTCAAAAAGTCGAAAGTACAAATGTCGTTCATCCTACCGAACCACTGCAGGAAGCGCCTTATTCTGAACGGAGGATAAATCTGCTTAGGTATGGGTCACCTAACCAGTCTCATCACTCCAGAGAGGTATCCGGGGTGCCGTTCAATGATTTCTTCAGGAGCTGCAGAGACGAGAAGGAGCCTGAATCAGTAAGACACCCACTTTGTGAACGCCCCATACTGGGGAGTAGTATACTGAGGTTCAACGGAAATATAAAGTGTAGTACGACCCATCCGCCCTTGGGATGAACAACTGCCATACATAACTTCGTACACAAAGAGGCAATTGGTGATGTTTTTTGGTCTAGGTAAAAACCCAAAATTAATTGTATTACGCGGTCCTTGGTTCAACATGTTTACCTCAAGTTTTATCTTCCACAAAAGGGTTATCAAGACTAAAAATAATCGCCTTGAAAGGAAATATATCTTGCTTTTGGTTGATCACAAAAGTTTAAGTTTCCTGAGAAAAATGCATCCTCTTCTGTAATTCTGGGAAGTTGCACTCAGGTCATAAGTATTTTGCTTTCTCTATAATTACATACACAATGCACACATTCATATATTAAATGCGGGTATTTTTTCATTTTTCTACATTGCAAAGAAAGAAAATCTCAAGCACTTAGCCAATAAGTAATCTGCTTATATCCACTAATAAATTACAAATCAACTTATAAGCTTGCCATTTGGTATTTATACGTCTTCTTTGTTTCATTCATTTCTTTCAGCAAACAACTATAGAAAAAGGACGACGAGGGAGATTGAAAGCGCAAACGAAACGAAGTTCAACAAAACTGGAGCAGTTCATAGTTTTGGTTATTTACAAATCTTGTTGATTTGTTGATTTCGAGAAAAGTTGTATCATTAGCAAATCAGGGCAGGAGCCGAAAAGACGACAACCGCAACGCCAAAGGAAGTGAACAAATACACATAAACAGAAAAGCGAAGTCACTAAGAAATTGGGAAAAGGACGGAAGTGGTGGAATTAGGAAGGAAAAGTTTGCGCAGCAACAAAAGTTGACCAGCAGAAGTTACGAGGAATAATGACATCAAGAATGGTAGGTTTAGTAGCGGAGGAAAATTCAATTGTGTTGTAGTTGGTACTAGCAGCAAAATCGAATCATCAGAGTAAACACTGGGGCCATAATATCAAGACAAGTACGAGGACAAACCCGCCAGCAACAGCAATAAAAAAGAGGCGCACGCCAGCATAATCTTAGTAGAAAATAAACCAAGAAAACTAACAACATCAACATCAATGTAGAAGTAGAAGTGCCGAAAGATGGACAACGGCAAAGATCAAAGCATTAAACAGCTAAAGAAATTAAAAAGTTGAAGGATAAGTAAAAGAACCTAAGAAGAAGGCTAAGAGTAATCACAAGAAGTAAGAAGCCAGAAGCATCGCTGTAGTCTCACCATCCGCGAAAACATCTGCAACACAGGCCAAGTCAAAAGACTTGTGCAACACTAGAGCAGCAGCAGCGGCGGTGTCGGCGTTGGCAGCTGTGGCGCCAATACAGCACAGGATAATGTGCGCGCTGACTGTCAAGCCGCATAAGCAATGCCACAAATGGACGGAGGAGCAATGTGATGACAGCAGAAACAGCAATATCAGCAACTACAACAATATCAATGATTATGACGAGGAAAATGTTCAACAGCAAATTCAGGAACCAAACCAACAATTGCAACAAACACTCGTGCTTGAATCAATGTTGGGAAGACAACACCAACGGAAACAGCGTGACAAAAGGCAATGGCAGTCAATGTGCAGCACGCGCCGTCGAGCAGGAATCAAGTGGAAAATTATAATATCAACAATAATTTTGCTATTATGCCGCATAAGTGAGTACAATACATACAAATTAAGCGAATGAATGGCAAAGTCACATACATATACATATATACATATATACTTATGTACGTACACACTACACACCTACCGACAGAAATAAATGAAAAAATAAATAAAGCAATTGCATCTGCGAGGAATGCAGTAACAACAAAAGCAGCATTAAACACAATACGTTGCATGTAATTGTACACTTAATAGGAGCACTTGAGTATAAAAACAATGTACATATTTATGTACTTACAAAAATATCCTTAATTCTTTCGAGTAGATCTGTATAGATGTTGTACGCTGAGCATTGCACAAAGGACCAACATACATACATACGACTTTGTTTGTGAAATACATATGTACATAAGGTGCATTTTTTTGTAAGCGAGTGACAAAAGAACGCTCAAAACGGGGAAAATTTCCCCCTTTAGCTACTTAAGAAACCCTTTTTGGTAGCTGGCAATAAACATGTAATTAGTTTAACGGGATTTAAATACAAAAACTAATTTATATGAGTAATTATGCGAGGTATTTGCGTAACATGTATACTTTTTTTTTTAATATATTTATATAAAAATTTCCCTCTCCACTTTTCCATTAACAATTCACAGTGGAGCAGTTTTTTTCACTTAACAACACTACCCTTTGAGGTCGCTTTGTTTTTAACCCACCTGGCTGAACTCGGATAAATAGCCGAGTTTGTGGTGTTTCTTTGCGTGTATTTCGTCATTTGAGCGAGTGTTCTTTTGTAGCTCGGTTGCAAAAGAATGCACCTTTAGTATGTATGTGGCCAAAATGAAGTGTGTAAGGAAAATAAAACATAATTGGTTGATGTAAATATCCACATAATACAGATCAGCCAAAGAAATGAAGAAATATAAAACATATTTTTACCAGGGCCGGGCAGTGGCAGGGGAAACGCTTGAAATGCATCACCTCTTCCCCTACCATGCAGCTATAGCAGAAGTCGTGTGCGTGGTAGCCCATCCGCTTAACGCGTATTCTCATTAAGCAGTGCTGAAAAATAATATAGCACTGATAATGGGATGATCAATTAAGATTAGATCTTTTCTCGTTGTTGCATATCCAGGTTTGCTTAGTAACCGAAAGAAGGGTTCTCTGGCTTATCTGTCTTCTTTTACGAGCCTGCGATCCGAACAGGTTGGATTGCACGTTTTAAGCAGCTTCTATAAGCCCTAACCTAACTAACCTAAGTGTTTTTGTCTTCAAATTTTTTTTTCCAAACCTCTAGGAAATTGTCGAGGTTTTTGTAGAAGATTCTCGCCCCGTCTAGTCATATTTCATTATACCCCCACCCACTTGTTTCCTGCGTGCGCACCTAGTTGAAACTAATTCAGCTTCAGATTTATGAAAACCCATAATTCGTGTATGCTTGCCTACTAATAAAATTTTGCAACAAGATTGCTAGCAATTTTTCATCTAGAAAATGCCGGTCACGTCGCATCACTCGCCAAGAGCTTACTTACCTGTAGTCCAAAGTACGTACCTAAGTTATCCTTGGAAATTGCCTGAATACTCTGTTAGCGAAGTACAATTACTCATAATGCGCTCTTCGTGCTCTTGTAGTTGTAAAATATACATACATATGTATATATGTACGTATGATAAATGCATACATTCGTTGAAGCACATTCACACATACACATTTAGATAAAAATATACACAAATAGACTCCTAGCCTTACGAACAAATAACAAAAAAATTACCACAACAAAATGTAAAACAGCAATAAAAGCCAAACGAAAGAGAAATAAATAAATGGACATAACTGTAAAGCCAAATAAATTACAGCAATTTATAATTTTTCCAGCTTTTCCTTTTCACATTTCGCCCACAGCTTTTGTACGAAATCTCTTTCATATTCCAGCTCTCATTTTCTCTGTTTTGTTCTACTCCTTTCATGCTGCTTGGCTGTTTTCCATTATGCTTATCTGTGGCTGGAAATATTTTGCATTGTCTGCATTGTCGCCAACAAAAGGTCACGTGCTCGCCATTCGAAAGGGTCGTCTCATGTCCCCAAGCTCATTCACTGCCTTAAGCGGAGATCTTCATGTGCAGATACAATTCAGCGGTGAAGATGTGGCGGCTGCCGTTGCACTCGGTAATGGTGCTGTGGGCGTGATAGGAGATGGGATTGATGGCGGCCATGAAGTGCCGGCTGATGGAGCAAACGTGGAAAGCACGTCGACAGGAACAACAACGGGCCGAACGACAACGACTACAGCACGCACGCTGAATCCATTAGATGGGATGAGTTTTCGTCAAGTGGGTGGTGGCATTGGTGGATTGGGTGCTGTGGAGAATACCATTACAAGCACTTTGGTAATTAGTAAAATCATTGATGATTTTGCGGATACTATGGAGACGACGACCAGGAATGATACAGCCACATATGCGTCATCCATGGAGAGTGCACAGTTCAATGGCAGCTTAACGAGCATATCGAGTGCGGAAGTAACAACGCCATCAGCGTCTAATGACACCCACAATCTGCTTGATGCAACGAGAGTGTTGCACCGCAAGCGCAAAGAAATTGTTCAGAATATTCCTGTCTTCCCCGATCCGCGAAACAATGTCACACAAATATCCGTGCCCTGTCAGACATTCACACGCGGTGGTCTCTACGAAATGCAGGTTGTCACCAACTTAAAATCAACCGCGACCGTGTCTAACGTCAATAGCAGTGCTCATGAACCGCTACCCACGATGACCACGACTACGTTGATGCCCGTCGTCGATGAGCGCTTGCGTCAAACACTCGACGTCCGATGGCCCAGCGCTGACATGCAAGTGGAGCCGACACGCTTGCGCACCTACCCCGAGCAGCCGGTTGTGGTGACGTTGCGCTTTCCGGAGGTGAATTGTGAGCGCGCATGGCATGAGAGCAACTCACTAGATTTGCCGCAATTTTGGCTGGAGCTTATCTATTGCGGCAAGCAGCGTAACTGCAATGAAGTGTTGCCACAAAACATCAGCAAATCGAGTATCTTGTATATGGAACAAGTGCGTGGCTATCCCAAGCATAAAGCTGTGCATCTGGGCTGCGAACTTTTTGGTTTGGCCGGTAATTACGCAGTGCAGCTGCGACCGATGGTGCCGGCGCCGAATGTGCCCATTACGCGTCGCTTTCTCAGCGTTGACTGGAGTGATAAGTTTGTTTTTAATGTTTACGCGCGTAGCATTTTCCCCTGCGACCCACATACGGGCATTGGTGTGCTATATGAATATCCGTCTTGCATACTCGAGCAGGGTGACCGGGTGCGCGTTTTTGCAAAATTGCGCGCGGATGTGGCGTCACTTAAGCCGCCTACAACATTGCACTACGTGGCTGAACAACGCGTGGTGAAGAGTCATCATTCGCTCTACTTTAGCTGTGAGCTGTTCACTGAGAAATTTGTGGAGTACTGCTTCGTCTATGTAAGCCAGGCTATTTCCGGGGCAGTAGCTGATGTACGGATGGACTGCGTGCCGACATTACCAGTTAGCGGTAAGTACAACATTACTCAATCAAACAAAATTTATAGTTAATAATGTAGAAAGTAAAGCTGGGCTTCTGCGTAAAACTGTCGCGATAAGTACGTAAAACTTAGAAAAGACAGACAACTTATTTGACAGATTTCTTAACTTTCTTTTGTCGGAACTAATGGGCCAGACGCTGAAGAAAAAAAAAGAAAAATAATTGTGGAAAACCTGTCCAAAACTGTAGAAGCATCCATTTAAAAATCATCCATGTTTGTTTCTTACAGCGACCCTTGTTGGTTCCTAAAGACCTGCGAGTGTTCATCTCTCAACACATCGCTGCCAAATGCCTCATGTAGGGGGGTTCATGTATGCCTATCACAGTTAAATGTGCATACATACTAAATGCCACGAAAACTGACCAGTCAGTAGTCCCACAAGTTTTTTGCAATCCCATATGTTCACTGAAAGAAAATACCTAGTAACAACCACCGGCTTTTGCGGAGCGAAATATTCATCCAGTATCTGCCTGTGACTTTGATAACCGAAGATGGGACTATAACTGGTTGTCAACATTGCAGTACCTATTCAGCGAACGCAACGGTGGCCTGCTGTCCTGTGGCAATTTCCGCAGAAGCGCATGCTTATTTCGGTATTTCGGTGGCAATAAGAAAGTAATCTGAGGCGATGTTTAGTCCTCCATCTAAAAAGCCGGAACCATGCTTTCCATCGAATACATCGTTATCGATTTGGTTCTATCTTAAGTTCGCTTTAAGCGCTCATAGAAGAAGTGTTTGGCCACGTACTCCTCGCCTTCCATTGGGGCGAAAATGAACCCGATAATGAAAATTTAAAAAAAAAAATAAAAAAAATCAAGCGACACTACTCCCAGTAGCGCACCCTTACATGGTAGCTATAGTAGACACCAGAAGGGCCTACGCGGTTTCTTAAATGACGGTGATGTCAGCCTTAGTCCATCCTTCCTTTTTAAGGTTCCGAACCTGAGTGCATGTTCTCAAATAACAGTCCTTTAAAGTTTGTCGCGGTCATCGTCAAAATAGGGGGTGTCATCCGGGGCTTCGTTTTCCTTTTCATTGGAATTCGCTTTTACGTAGCGGTTCCCAAACTAAGCGCACAAAAGATGCTGGCTTTATTTTAACAGGTACGCGTTTACATACCACTACCACTTTCTTTTAGCTGCACCTCGTGGTGGGCAGACGCTGTAGACTTCAGTGAACCTTTAAACCGAATGAGTCGTACTTGCCTCGGCATAAGCTTAAACTATTCCTGAACTTCTGAAATTGGCAACTGTAAAATCTGAGTGTCACGGTCAAGTTCCTATGTGTGGGAGGTTGCTGCCTGAAATTCGGCGTGGAAAATAACGTCAAAACCTGAATATTTCTTTCAGGGAGTCCGACTCCAGCGCCACCTATACGAACCAGTCTCTTTTGATTGCAATTTTCGCTGTGTACTGCAACACAAAAGGGGTATTCTCCAAATCTTGCAAAGCCATTGCACGTAGCACGGATTGCACGGATTGCATAAATTGCAAACACACAACAAGAAAATTCATGGGAAACAACATTTCCTATCGCTGCAAAATATGCAACGTCGAAACCCATAGGGCTATTCGCGATTTGGTGCATAAGAGCTGACAAATTTATGCAATTGCAGAAATATGCCATGGATTGTGAGCGACCTTTATTAAACTGTAGTGGTAAAGCTTTTGCAAAACAATTTTTGTGCATCAGCTTTGGTTTTGTTTATGAATGCAATGCATAGCATTTTTATGCTATCGATTTTCGGTATTGCAAATTTGCCAAGCCATGACAAATGCAAATGCGTGTATTTTGTTTGTGTATTGCAAATAATTTGCAATACAAATTTGCAATGCAATGATGCTAGGCCATTTGCACCGGATCGCGAATAGCCCTCATGTATATATTTTGCAAAATAGCATAGCAAGATAATAGCGACCCTG